TTTTTTTTTGGACCGTTTCTCGATTTATGTGTGTCATCCTTGCGCAGGGCCCATGCTAATCTTCTTTCTCTGTATTGTTCCAATTTCAACGGATGTCCCGAAGGACAGGACGAAGAATCTCAAGTATTATTTCTACAAAACTTTTCCACACATTTCCATTTCCCTGCCTATGGTGCTTGATCCCCTCGGGATGGGACCTCTCTTCTCAAGTGCACCCTGCTCTTCTTCTCTCTGTGCGGTCTCTTGTTTATGGGAACTTCATCTGTTTCATCTGACTTCTTCATCATTTTGTATCGCAGTGATAGACACGGGAAGCAGCTGGACCCCGTAGACCAAGTAACCAAGCAAGTCTAATCAGCAGTAGACAGACGGAGTACCCGCTCTCCGGCTCGCGCATGGAATTGCAGGCAACTCTCTAATCAGCAGAAAAAAGACTGGCTGTTGTCACAGATCCGAGGTGGGGTCGTGCATACCTAATTGTAATCAGTGCTGCGTTCCTGCTTTGCGCGGCTGCCTTGCTTATCGACATCTCGTTGTGATGCGCGCTCTTGTGGCTCTTTGTTGTGCTTCGCGCCTTGTCAATGCGGAGTATATTTCAACATTGGAATCATTCGTCTTTTTTTCCCCTTCTCTTTGTAATCGTGCAGGTAGGCGGGGGCTATTCGATGGTACGGTGCAAAACATGCATCTTCACTGGAAAAGGAGGGAGCTTGTGAAGATCGTCTTCAAGGAAAGAGATCCGAGGAGACTTCGCGAGGTCGGAGAGCAGCTGGCCTCGGAGAGTGGTGGTATCCTCGTGTATGCCGACAAAATGACCATCGTCGTCTACCGGGGAAAGAACTACGAGCGTCCCAAGGAACTCAGGCCAAAACATCTTCTCACTAAGCGGCAAGCGCTTCATAAGTCTGTCGAGGAGCAGCGCAAGCAGGTCTGCATCCTGCTCAGAGCCATCCTATGTGGTGGGAAACCCGTTTGCTGATGACATGAGCACGTAATTCTCCCCTTCTTCGCCTCCCTCCCTCCCTCCCTCCCTCCCTCCCTCCCTCTCTCCCTCCTTCCCTCCCTCCCTCCCTCTCCCACCTTTCCCATGGTTTGCTTTCCACACCATTGATTCTGCTGTTGAATGCAGAGCCCCAGGCCATGGTTGGATATGATGTAGTGGGAGGGATTGTGTGAGGTTGAGGGGGGGGGGGGGGAAGGTGGGGTGGGGTGCGCACTAGACTTAGTGCGCGGATAGCCTCGAATAACAGGAACCGAGCAGTGCTTGCAACTAGGGATGCACGACGGCACCTAACAGGTAAAAAGCACTGTCAAGTCATAGCGTCTGGCTGCCCCATGTGTTTGACGGCCTGGATTAAGTTGAGGGGGCCTTAGACTTCACATGCGGACCGTCCTCATAACGTCTGGCTGCATGTACGGCACATTAAACCACCAGTACACCCGCACCCCATTGTGTGCCAACGCCGCCAAGCTTCGCCGAATCGCTGGCATCGCACTTTTTTGAAGTTTTTTCCCTCTTTGGCTGGCGCCACCAGTCTGTTTGGTCCGATAGGCCCGAGGTGCGAAGGCCCGATAGGCACTTTTTTGAAGTTTTTTCCCTCTTTGGCTGACGCCACCAGTCTGTTTGGTCCGATAGGCCCGATAGGCCACGAGTAGGCGATGAACTTTTTTCCACAAGGCTGGGGCCGTGTGCTAGCTAGCGGTGA